TATAGGGGTTCTTGGAGTCGGTTATTCAAATGCATCTTTCCAACATCTGTGCGTGGACTTCCCCGGGATACTCAAAAAAAGTAATGCTCCTTTAATTAATGCCCCCCCCCGCCCATTGCATTAGCTGCGCTTTATGCGCTTCTTTGTACCATGTTCGAACTGAAGGCTCTCTATGTGAACTTTCGGGATCCAGCAAGAAATTCGTTTCAGACCCATAGCGTTCAGCATGTTTTCAACCACACCGTTCACATGCCGCCAGAATAAGTAACTTTTAAAGAACTTCCACTGAGTTTCCACATCAGCCGTTATAGTTTTCATCGATTTAAGCCATCAAGCGATGCCGTTTACCGTTTCTGGGGCCACATCTTCGCATAGTGGTCCATCGGTTGTGGCTGAGGGATGCCAGCAAAATAAGTGATGATCGATTGACAGCTCTGAACCTCTCTTTTTCGAACGTGACGCAAACACCCGGTGCAGAGCGTCGTAGGTCAGACGATACGATTATCAAATCGTTCACTTGCTATTGTACACAAGCTTCCTTATGTTACTTTTGCTGATGCACATTTCGATGCTCGAAGAAGGTGTTCAAAACGAACTGGCCGTTGTCTGCACAAAAATGCAACTACTTCGAGTCGTTATTCTTAAGATCGCTAGTGCTGATCTTCAGAATCACCCGTTTCTGCTTCCAGTGTCTGCCTTAACGGAACAAAGAAGTCGCCAATCGCAATGATGAATACCGTAGTCCGTTCATCGTGCAAGGTACCTTCTACCTCGTCCAGGAGGGACGCATTTTTGCCTCTGAATTGGGCACATAAACCTGTAACAAAGCCAATGCATTTGCCTGTTGCAACCTAAGTCGGCGAATTTCTTCTCTTCCGTTGTCAGGCTTCGATTCAGACTCTGTAGGTCAGCTTTACTTCTACCGGAACACCAATACGGGCTTGAACATGAATCCCAGAGTCACTACTTGAGTAAATAAGCATCGCATCCACCCGCTGAGCGGAACCCGAGTGGTTTCCAGAGCCCTGGCGTTTCGTTGACAATGATATGACTATGTCCATGTGGTACTTTGTGCCATATCAACTAACTCCTGCTCTTTTCCTCGGAGTCAGAAGATGTTCGCATTTCCGAAGGGGACCTCCCGTTGTCGGTGTCCTTACTGTGGAACACTGTAT